CAAAACACAACGTTACAGAGTAACAACGCAACTACAGCTGCACAAAACACAACGTTACAGAATAACAACACAACTACAACTCCACAAAACACAACGTTACAGAGTAACAACGCAACTACAGATGAGCAAAACACAACGTTACAGAATAACAACACAACTACAACTCCACAAAACACAACGTTACAGAGTAACAACGCAACTACAGATGCACAAAACACAACGTTACAGAATAACAACACAACTACAGCTCCACAAAACACAACGTTACAGAATAACAACACAACTACAGCTGTACAAAACACAACGTTACAGAATAACAACACAACTACAGCTGCACAAAACACAACGTTACAGAATAACAACACAACTACAGCTGCACAAAACACAACGTTACAAAGTAACAACACAACTACAGCTGTACCAACCACGACGTTACAAAGTAACAACACAACTGCTGCAGAAACTACAAAGTTACAGAGAAATGTCACATCTACAGCTGCAACAACAACTGCAAGCACCACCACAACTCCACCTGCAACAACTGCAAGGACCACCACAACTACACCTGCAACAACTGCAAGCACTACCACAACTACACCTCTAACAACTGCAAGCACCACCACAACTCCACCTGCAACAACTGCAAGGACCACCACAACTACACCTGCAACAACTGCAAGCACTACCACAACTACACCTCTAACAACTGCAAGCACCACCACAACTACACCTGCAACAACTGCAAGCACCACCACAACTACACCTGCAACAACTGCAAGCACCACCACAACTACACCTCTAACAACTGCAAGCACCACCACAACTACACCTCTAACAACTGCAAGCACCACCACAACAACACCTGCAACAACTGCAAGGACCACCACAACTACACCTGCAACAACTGCAAGGACCACCACAACTACACCTGCAACAACTGCAAGCACCACCACAACTACACCTGCAACAACTGCAAGCACCACCACAACAACACCTGCAACAACTGCAAGGACCACCACAACTACACTTGCAACAACAACCACAAGCACCACCACAACTACACCTGCAACAACCACAAGCACCACCACAACTACACTTGCAACAACAACCACAAGCACCACCACAACTACACCTGCAGCAATACCTTTTTTTCTCAGCACCATCACCCCCCCCCCACCAAGGGGACTGACGCCGCCAAACGCGGTGGGCGTAGTTCGAGCAATTAGGAGCCCTGAGAGAAAAACCAGGTATTGTTGAACAATTTGTTATAGAAATAATGAAAGGCTGAATGGTCCTAACATTTAGATACCGTAGACAGCAGAGTGTATATATTTGATGTCATTAAAGACATATGTATTAGTTTTTATTTGATATTGTGAATAGGAGGGAAATGTTGTAATAAAATAATTATTTGTAAGTAGCAGGTCCTAGAAGTCCACACTGTACCAATAACTAGCTTTTGTGTGATTTGTTATATGCATGATTCAAAAGGATATTATTTATGTTGAGTCAACAGCGCACAATGCTGGTTCTATAAAATGTATTTGTTACAGTAGATAGCACAAGTAGAAATTGGTCATAGAGTCAGTAAGCACTTATGTCAAACTAATGTATTTAACCACATAAACCACAATGAGCAAATACCAGAGCAGCTAATCATGTAGCTACTTGAACATCACCTTGTATTAAAATGAGCAATGGTATGTTTTTTTGCTTATGAATTCAAATTCTTATTTTTGAGAAGATGACTGATATCTCCTCTCTAAAAAGTTATATTGACTTTGTTATCGACACCTCAATTGTGTCCCCAATTGGATTTTCAGAGCAATCAGTGGAGACAACTCGACTGGCCTATTTCAAGTAAGTTAATACTTAGATATATCTGTCAGTTACCGCGTGTGAATAAAAGAATCACATGACTCAAGATTCCTTCATTTGACAGGGAATTGAAGTTTCATGCGACATAAAGACTGTGATAATGTAAGTGAAATAAACTACAAACTATAATCTTGAAATGACCAAAGCGAGTGTAAAGCATCTGTTGGTTGACACCGACCTCGTACTTCAGACGCACCAACTGTTCTGTGACGCTGCGGCTGAAGCAGAAGGTCCCTCCGTGTTGTATCCTTCGGACGCTCTGCGCGGCCAGTAGAGCATCTCCTGACATCCACGTGGTGGGGAAAACAGCAGCAGGAATTAGTGAGTGTTACATGCTCTTAAATACATAATTACATAAGTAATTAGTTCCCATAATGCAATCAACCATCTGTGTCGTTGAACAGGTCCTCTACAAAATGGGTGCGATAGTGAAGCGCTTGGGAGTTGCGCGTATAATGGTCCATCTGGTGCAGCATGGTAAGATGGTTGTGTTTTCCCTTTGTCACCTTGAGATAATTATCTACAAAATAATCAGGTTTTTGCCTTTTCATTTCATTAGATAGCTGGCTGCCGTACTCTGTTTCTTCTTTTTAATAAAACGCGGTCGTCTTTCAACAGTGACTTGTCCGAGACTGCATATGTGGTTCCTCAGCGCAACTCATCTCACTGTGGTGCAGGTGAGCTCTGAACACTTCCATTAAATATTGTTGAAGCACAGAAAGTAAAGGTCGTATTAAACCCCGAAATGGTGAATCGACAATGTCAAAGTAGACATTTAGGACGTGTCACATAAGGTCTGAAGTATTGTTATGTGGATGTGGACACTTTCAGCAGATACAAAGCTAGAATAGTTTAAACACATAAGCAAATATAATTTCTCGATTTGTTGCTTGTCTGTATATGAACCCTTAAATAAAGTGCTAAAAACTGCAACTGCTCAGAAAAAAGTGAGTCAATCCTTCAGACGCCCCTGTGAGAAATCGCCTGACCACAAAAATAGCATCATTGATTTATACAAGCAAATTTCTGCATCTATGACGACTGTATGGTCAATTATTGTTCATATAACTCGTTTAACATTTGAAATTTAAATAATAGGCCTAAAGTGAGCTTCAAACCGGCTATGGATGACATCAATCATATTTCATACAGCCTGCGGTCCACACTAACATTTTAATGCATTTTAAACCAAAATGCTTTGACTTGGTTTCAGAGAACAACACCTGCAACTGCTCTGCTTACTGCGGAGGAACTAGTGAGTGTTTGTTTCCCCCTTGCAAAACATTCCTTCCTTCTACATAAATGTAGATTAATAAAGTTTCTTTGTTTTCAGATGCATACTACACTTTTCAAATATCAAATCAAGATTTGGAGATTAACGCCCTAACATTAATTTCATCGGTCATTGACATCGTAAGTTATCCATGCAAGTGTAAGCGTATGTTTCAGTGTATCTCTTTGATTGTCCATTTTGCATCACTGTTTTGTTGTAGTATCAAATTCTGATCTCTCGAATCTTTACAGCTGAATTTGCTGAAACAACATAAAAACTGTCCTCCGGAGTGAGTTTTGCCATTTAACTGCGCAGATTTCATTTTACATGAAGAAAAACAATTTTATCAAATTGTAAAATGAATCACAATTTTTGTTTTGTTTTTTGCTTTTTCAGTGTTAGTGTTGGATGCCCGTTGTCCATTATTGCAACTGAATTCAAGGTAATGAGCTGTAGTTATATTGCCTGATCGATTGCCTTATTTCCTGTTTTGTAGTTTGACTATTTACTAAAGCAAAATGAATCCAACTTTGACCAGTACAATCAAGGAATTTTTTTGCAGTTATTTATTGTTTACTTATATGATAATATTATTATTATTTATCCTGATCATTACAGGAGGGATCCAATTAAGAAGTGTTGTGTACAGTTTTTTTTCTGAGTTACGCATTTCAATGAGGAAATAAGCCACTTGTCAAAAGATTTATGAAGTGCAATTTTGACACACTTAGAAGTTTCTTCATTTAATTAAAACAACTAATTGACCCTGTGAATGTTTCAATTATATAACTTATTTTATGATTTTTTTTCTACGACTTTTATTATGTAATTCCTGTGTGATTAATTGACAATTTCTCTTCAGGATGTCAATGTGGAATGTGAAATATCCTCAACAAAGTGAGTCTAATATTATTACTGCATTAAAATGTACCTACTGATATGTTTTAACAGTGACTGAAATCTGTGTAATTTTTTATTTATTTTTCTTCAAAGCTGCACGGTGATTTTAGGCTTTCACCATGAGGTTCCTATTTGCAACTTGTCGACCGCCGTGTTGGGTTTGTTTTCTTCTGCGAAAAACCTCTTTTTCAACGGCCAAGTGACTCGAGCAGGTGTGTGTGTATTCCAAACACAATTTCCTACAATCAACAAAATGACTGCAGGCCTGCCCTGTAAAACCCTTCATTTGTGTTTTGTCTTGCATGTCACACAGCAATTTGTGGGAATTCAATAGTCAGCAACAGTCCACTAACATCCGGATTCAAGTGGACACGCCTTAACGTAGAGCCTGCTTCCTTTTGTGCGTCAATAGAAAACTCTGGCTTCCTCGATTGGTTTGTGTGATCTTCTCACCAACTTATCTTCTGCAGTAACTCCTGATTGCAATGGAGTTGACAAACGTTTAACGCTTGAGCTCAAATACTTTCAGCCTAAATATCAATTTGTCCCTTTTCTCTACAGTCAAGCTGGAAATGTGATTGTGCAGCTGGAGGAGCAGTGTGCTGCGGGTCTGCTTACCACACAAGGCCCAAATGTGACAAGCGCACAACCAAACACCACCAACGCCTCTTCAAACGTAACTTCATCCCCACTGGACACAACAGCTCGAGCCCCGAATGCCACCGACACTCCCGCTAGCGTCACCGCGTCAGGTTTGTCATCCCTGCAGCACTGTTTACAGTCCCGTTGCAGTACTTCCACCATCATGACACCCCTCCTAAAACTGTGTTGTGCCGCAGCTGAAGGCCAGGCCAACGCACTGCTCCAGCTCACCGGCGACGTGTCCAGGCTGAACTCCAGCCAGGTGTCTCAGCTGGTGTCTCAGCTGGAGGCTCTTCTGTCCGGTCCCAACGTCAGCCTGGCGCTGGGCAACACCTCGGTCCACATCGTCAGCAATCTGCTGGGAGCCTCTCCTGAGGTGCTGGCTGACTCTTCCAACAGGTTAAGGGATCCATTTATTTGACTTTTCTTTCGTCACTTCACACTGTTTTTGTATTGAACGTTTTAATGCAGGCCCATCATACTATGGAATAACTACATTTCCTTTACTGCTTAATGCTTAAATGTTTACATTTTGATGCATTATTTTTGATGTTTTGGATTTGACAGGGAGTGGTGATTAGAATGTAGCACAGAACATGCTGCTATTTACTGTAATTACCACAAGGATAACCTTCAATATCCTATTGTGTATACAATTATTCTGCTGTATTTTCCAAAATCATAACGCTTCTTGGCGACCCAGTAGCAGATGTTCCAAGGTTATGATCGAGCGGGGAGGGGTTGGGACCATTGGGGTAAATAACTTGGCTCCATTCTATAATTCATAATTTTCACGATACCAATCCTTTTTTTTCATCAGGATTATAAGGATTGTCGATACTGTCGGGTTGAAGCTGGTTCTTGATGGAAAGGCTGAGACCCTTCTGTCTCCAGCTGTGGCTCTGTCTGCGAAACCAGCAGATGGCCGCAACTTTCAGGAAACCATTTTCTCCATCTCAGACCCCAATAATGTGCAGGTATGACATGAATAGCACAGTCAATTATATGTATCCCAGGACAGTCTTTACGTTGACCCTTTTGAGGGGACTCAAGCCCTATTTTGGGAAACCCACTAGACCAAACTGTTAATAAAGTACGTAAAGCAGTTTGTCCTCTATGTGCGAATGCTGCTTACACATGAGAGCACCAGTTTTTACTCAACCTAATAATGTAATACACACTAATATATCAGTCACAGGGGACATTGTACTGCTGCATTGTTTGTATGCGGCGAAGTGGTGATAACAAGCGAGATCACCGCCGTCTCTGTTTCCGCACAAACCCACTTAATGAGATAAGTCAACCGCCGTCCTTTCATCACAAGGAAATTAAAAACATAATTTCTAAAGTTTACATACCTGCTCGACATTTCCTATGGTGACACGCAAGAAGAATTGCGTTGATCCGTAACAGTGATTTGCAACCAGGGGCGTCAGACAGACTGAGTAAGCCCTGAATGAAAAGGTGGAGTATAAAGTCGGTGGTGTTAAATAGTTGGAGAGCTATTCCGTCGTGTTCACTCTGGCCCCTGTGTGCTGCAGGTTCGTGGGAACCCCAGGCAGGGCAGGAGCCTGAGAGCCGACTCCTCCATCCCTCAGGGCTCCATCACGTTGCCCCCATCCCTCACACAGGGCCTGACCGTCGAAGAACAGCTGCTGGCCAACAGAGTCCAGTTCAATTTCTACCAGAAGAGCACAGTGTACCAGGTCCATACAATTTGACAGACGGACTATTCCAAGCGAGACATGTAGAGAGAGACAGACAGACCCCTGAGACGCTTGGATTTTGATCACAGAAATGTTGCATTGTTTGTAATTGTAGTTTTAAAATGACTGATTTTGTGTTCAGAAGGGAAACCACATTTAATATCGCACATGACTGTAACAATTTCTTTACAGGCAAACAACTCGTGTTTTTGTGTTGTCTCTAAATGTTCATGCAGGACAGTGCTTTGGGAAAGCGCAGACTCAACAGTGGGATCCTTGGAGCAAGTGTGGCCAACCTGTCCCTCGCAGACCTGCGGGACAATGTTACAATTAACCTGAGAAACTTTGAGCCGGTTCCAGTAAGTCCATTTGAAAAAAAAAATGCAGTACTAAATACTATGGTAGTATGAGTATTGTAATGCAATCCTAATCAACAGCCAAATTAAATATTAACACATAACTTTTCCCTGCTAAATATTTTTTTCTTTCCTTCATAAACTACAGGCTAACTACGTGGCTGTATGTGTTTTCTGGGACTTCACATTAAATAGTACGTTTTTCTTCAATTTTTCTGTGAGATTTAATTAAATGTAAACAAAGGTGAAAATATGGTTCACCTGTGTTCTCCTCCGGCAGACCAATCAGGTGGTTGGAATCCAAGAGGCTGTGTACTCCAAAATAGCACAGACAGTGAGACCGTTTGTGGATGCAACCATTTGACAAGTTTTGCCATCCTGCTGGTGAGAAGATGATATTTTCTTTCATTTGTTTTTTCAGTTTTGTGAACACTCTTCTGTAACTTTGTTCTTTTTCTTACAGGACCTCTCCAGACAGCCTTTACTCAGTCGTGAACAGGCCACCATCCTTACTTTCATCACATATATTGGCTGTGGAATCTCTTCCATCTTCTTGTCTATCACCCTCCTCACCTACTTGGCCTTTGGGTGAGTCGTGAGAAAAAATACAATCATCCAACGCAGTCGCAGTAACAACATCACACTACAATTCATACAATGGCAGCCCATAAAAACATCCAACATACGAGCCAATAAGGAGGCACTGCACTTTTTTGTACGGGAAACGTTTGTTGAGATATGTCCGCTGAGATTCTTTGTCTTGTGCGATCCATTTGAACACCGCAGGAAGCTGCGGAAGGACACTCCATCCAAAATCTTGATCCAGCTGTGCCTGGCTCTGCTGCTGCTGAACTTGGTCTTCCTGGTGGACGCGTGGCTGGCGCTCTACCCAGACACCTTGGGCCTCTGCATCTCCACTGCCTGGTTCCTCCACTACTTCCTGCTGGTTACTTTCACCTGGATGGGACTAGAGGCCGTTCAAATGTACCTGGCCCTCGTGAAGGTCTTCAATAACCACATATCACGCCTCATGGTGAAGTTCTCGCTGGTCGGCTGGGGCGTGCCGATGATCGTGGTCATTATTGTCATTGCGATTGACAAGGACAACTACGGCCTCATCTCCTATGGAAGGTTTTCCGACGGCACTAGTGACGGCTTGTGAGTCTTCCCACAGAACAAAAGAACACAAACACCAATACACGCGAAATAAAGAAAGTAACCCTTTCATTCTCTTCCCTCCATTCTCCCACAGCTGCTGGCTGAAAAATGACATCGCTTTCTATGTAGCAGTGGTGGCATATTTCTGCGTTGTGTTTCTTTTCAACCTAGCCATGTTCGTTGTGGTGTTGGTGCAACTGTGCCGGATAAAGAGGCAGAACCCTCACAACGCGCACCACCGCACCACGCTGCAGGATGTGCGCAGTGTGGTGGGGATCATGATGCTCCTGGGCCTCACCTGGGGCTTTGCCTTCTTCGCCTGGGGCCCCGTTAACCTGCCATTCATGTACCTCTTTGCCATCTTTAACTCCTTGCAAGGTGAGTTGTGTTCGGCCTTGTAAAACTCACCTTTCACGTAAAATCTGAAGAAAAGGGAGGCTCAAGTGGGTTCAAATCAACCACCTACAAAAACTATCAAGCTGAATCACATGTGTGTGTTATTTAGCAGCAGAAAGCAGCAAAATAATTGAATAAAACATGGAAATATCACAAAGTCTGTCTAGTCCAAACTAGCTATTTAATAAAACAAACGTGAATGTGTATGTACAGTATATGACATGTATACTGCATATAGCTTTTCTGTTTCTTTTTTTCGTAGGTTTCTTCATATTTGTGTTGTACTGTGCGATGAAGGAAAACGTGAGGAATCAGTGGAGGACCTACTTGTGCTGCGGCAGAATGAGACTAGCGAAGAACTCGGGTTAGACTTTCTTCACTTTACCTTCCACAGCTCAGGAAACTGTTGTTTCTTTCCGATTTTGTCAAATATGGACGTTTGTTTCGTCTATATTATATACAACTGTATGTTACGTTTCACCTTTTGCCTTCATTTCTTTTCACAGAATGGAGTCGCACCGCAACACAGAAGACCGCGAAGAAGAGGAAGTCCCCTGGGACCCGAATGCCATCTCTTCGGTCCGCAACGTCCTCCAACAACTCATCCAGCTCCTCGTCCTACCTCGTCAGTGACTCCTCGGAGCTGATCAATGGCATCGGTAAGTGAAGTCTGTGCGAGTCAAAGCCAACTGACTTTTGAGATGTTTGGTCTCTCATTGCCAAAAGTGAAGACGACTGGACTTCTGATTCCTGCACTCGCACACAGAGGCAGGATCAGGCATGAAAACGGGTCAAGGGTGAAAAAGGTGAGAAGGATATTACCCCTCCTATGGCAGGGGTTTTCAACTGGTTTTGTCCCAGAGATTTCTTCGAGTCATTCGTTGACGGGGGGTGGTAAGATATTACCGTCCATTTTACCGACTCGGTTCTTTGTATCTCGCTCAGTAAAATTAACGAATCTTTCTTCGAGTCATTCGTTGACGGGGGAGTTGGGTCAATGATTGAAGTCAGAATGTGTATCAGGTTGGCAGGTCTGCTTATTGATAGAACGGTGGACCACTTTACCTTCTGCCTCGTCAGTCACCTCACCTCAAAATCGACCTCCTCAAAAACGGTAGCGTTAGCTAATCATTTTACACCGGAGCTTTAGCTAGCTGGCCAACGTCGCGTTCTCTCCTGCTGTGTTAAATGACTCAATTTATCAAGCTGTAGCTAACGTTAGCTAAGTCTATGTCAACAAAGCTCCTGGGTAACTTAACTTGGATATACCAGAAAATATTAAAACCATCACTCACCCTGTTCGCAATTCACTGAATCTCGCGCTCCCTTCTGACACGCGCACCTGTTCGCAGTTTTTTCAACCTGCCCAACTTACGATGAAAGAGGGTTCTCATCCATCCACGAACAAAATAAAAATAAATAATGCCGTGTCTGTCCTACAGGCAGCCCATTTGAAGACAGAGGGATCACAGCAAACGAAGACCCCACAACGGACGTGGTCCTCAACGAGATCAACAGCCAGTACAGAAACCAGCAGGCGCCCTGATCTGAAGAGTGCAATTTGTTAAATGTGAAGAAAGAGCGAGAGGGCAGCTGGGTCATTTGTGTTCATTTAAATAGAATAAGTTTCATTATGTGTGTGCGGTATAACGATTCAGCTAGCATACTGTGTCGGAATTCCTCGCGGTGTGACTGTACTCGGTGTTTAGCCATAACTCCTGATTTATCCTTTTGTCGGGCAGTAAATATCGCAGTGGAACCGTGCAGGAGCTAATTGACTTGGCTCTATAGAGTCATGGTTATAACATTTTACAACAATTAATAACACGCAGCAAAGGTGGCGACACCAGCAGCCACAACAACTATAACGCTAACAGGCTAATGAGCCAACTCGCTAACAGGCCGGCTAGTTGTGAGTTGACCAGCGAGCGGTGAACATCTGTCCAGGTGGCCGGCGGGTCCTTTTGTTGTCAATGAATGTTTACTCGAAAAGAAATAGCGTCACACCAATTACAGTTAAATTAATTTTGGACTATACCGAAATTAGTGCATATTCCTACGGTGTGCCTCGGATGATTTCTTTGACGGTGACGTGAAAGAATTCCAACCGTTCAATGAGAGCACTTGAATCTACTTTTGAAACACTTGCAGAGAATGTTAGTATAAAGTCATTTATGTCCTTTCGGTCTGCATATCATGTGTATTGTACAACTTACCTACATTATTAATGGAAATTGATTTTTGCACTATATTAATATGCAATTGTATTTGCACAAGGAACTTCAAAAACATTTTTACAGTGAGATTACATTAAGGAGTCAGATCTCAATGGATACAAGTTGGGTTAATTACTTTGTTGTAAAATAATTTTAGGAATTCTTCATTCTTTGCAAAAGATTGTCTATTCAACAATGTGCTGAGAAAGCAAAAAAGGAGAGAGCACAGCATATTCCACCGATTATTGAATATTAATTTTAGAACATGTGTTTAAATAAAATGCTATTGTGGTGTAATACTATACTGGTTTACATCTTGGTCATGTTTTTCAATTGTTTAGTAAATCATATGGACATGGAACCGTAATATATTTGAATGGTGGCGTTGATTTTTAATTTATTGAAATTTATTTCGGAGAAAAACAACAGCCTAGACATGGTCCCCAAAAAACACTTTAATTGTGGAGGTCACAGCAAGTATCTCAAGTGGGATAGAACAGATTTTGGTGGAATTATATTGAATAAATAACTAACTGAGTCTTACAGGGTTGATAACGCGTAAACGTTACGTGTACTCTATATGCAAGCTACATTCACCGTCCTTTTCATGCACCCATTACGGTCTTAAATATCTTCAAATATATTGGAGAAATCAAAAAAAGGTGCCAATAAAAAAAATTGACAAAAACAGCACAAGCACAGACGTGGCATTTAAGTGGTGGAATTATTTCCCTTTTAAAACATATTTGGACTGAAATACTACAGTCTCACCCGAAGGGATCACATTGAGTTGATACAATCTGGAAAAAAAACAAAAACGAATCACACTTGAGAGTTGAGTAACAAAAACAGAGCTTAAAAATCAGTCTCAGTCTCATCAGTTCAGCAATGCTGGGACTACATTGGTCTATCACACAACCTGAGCCCGTGACTCGAGTAATTAACCATAAAAAAAAAACTCAATGAAAAAGGAGAGCGCACACGCCTGCTGTAAGATGAGCTACACCACATCAGTGTATCAAATGACCCGTTCAAACGGCGAACAGTTCCTTCAGAGTACATGCAAATGTATTCAAAACGCAGTAAAAAAAACAAAACACAACTGAAAAACGTAGTCAGCACACAACAGTAAAACAACTAAAACAAGAAGGGAGAGAAGTTAGATTATGGTAGATCGGGGTTTGGAAGAGGTGGGGGTGGGACCCGCCATCGTACCCTTTAGATTTGCTCAGACTGAATGCAAAGTTTGATTTATTCACATTAACTTGTCTGCTGCTGTGTTTTGCGATCCATGCTTTGTTAACCACAAACAGCCCGTCGTTGTACAGACGTTAGCTACAGTGAGTCAGAGGCCGCTCTCGAACAAATGGGCCTATACACTGGAACCCCAGTAAGAGATTTGCTTTATTTCTGTGGGTCGACCCCTTTCCCCCCCCCCCCCCAATTTGAAATCACACATAATGTATAAATCCAAACTTTGTGATGCCTCCGACACTCAGTCTGAACGCACCTTCAGGGCTCCAGCAGAAATGGGACGAGCGTTCACATTCCAGTTGTTGGGGATTCAAGCGGAGAGATGTGCAGGTCCTCACTTCTTCCACACGGAGTAGAAAACCCATCTGACGCAAACGAATTAGGGATCATACACAACCGTGGGCAAAAATGAACAGTACCAGGTCAGGTCCAGCCTATCAGAACTTGGTTTGATCGGTTATGAGGACACTAGCTTTTCAGAGGTTCGTGCACAGCAACAGTTAACAGGATATGGAAAAACCTTTCTTAATGAGTTGAGTCATTGTGGTGCGCTTGTTTGAGCTACACAACAACATCTGCACATCCCGGCCGTGGAGGCCATGCAAGGATACTGTTCCAAGTAGGAGGGGACACACACCACCTCTTTGGAAAACCCCACGGGGCACGAGAGCCGCCCTAGCTGTTCCTCGTACAGACCCAGGGACTCGGTCATGTTCTCGGCGTTACCCTGGTGACCAGGAGCAAAACAACGTCACATGACAAACAAACTGCCGTTTGTGTTCCTGTCGCAACAGGAAAACGGAAACTAACCCAAGAAGGATAATTTGAAGGATCACTTGGGGTTTAGATTATTACACTAATAGAACATAATCAGCGTGACCCACCTGTGTTAAATATTTTCCCGAAGGATGCAGGACCTTTATTGACAGGTCTAAGATGAGACGCAGAAACTCCCACGTAGAGTCTACGACAAGCAGTTCACACGGTTTCAGAATCAGGTTGAGACGCATTTTGTGGCCACTCGTTAGGTAGAGGAAGAAATGCAAGAAAAAAAACACAATGCAGAAACCTTCTTCTGGCTCCATGGATATCGGGATTGCGGTCAGGTCGTTGATCACGTAATCAAACGTCTTTCCTTCCTGGACGTACTTCTTCAGCACCGGGACGCAGTCCTCTACTAGTATCTGTGGCGCAGAGGGCGAGCAGAATCAACTCAACGCTGCTCTCAAGTTAACAAAGTAACAAATACAGTTCAATTCAGTACTCACTTGGTAACAGTCTCCCTTCAGGTTGTCAAGGATATTTCCACAGGTGCCTCTCATGTACTTTTTGCAAGCGTCAATCACCTTCTGGTCAATGTGCACACTTTGTAAAGGATTAATAAATTGAGTGCAGATATACAACCAAACATACAAGAAGGAGCTGTGAGAGAACACTACACTGCCTCGGGGAGTCACCAGAACAAACAAAGGATATATCCAACATGGTGACCATCTTTGGCTTTTGTTTGACCATCTCAGAAAGGATGCCTCCATCACCTCCTCCTAATATCAGCACCTCTTTTCCAGTATAATTCTCTCTGCCGCTACCCATGATGGCCAGGGTGTAGGCCAAATCGCTCTCTGCCAGGTCTGCAAGGTAAAATAAGGGTTTAAACTGGATATAAATCAACAGGCCGGCCATTATTAGCCGGTTAGTGATCAGTCGTGGTGACCTGATTTCCAGGTCATTCTGTGAGAGACGTGGATTTTAGTGTTGTGTACACTCACTTAAGTCATTATCCAGTATGAGAGCATTTCCGTACTGCTGCGAGTGCAGTATCTTTATGTTTTGAAATGCAGAATCTTCTTCATACACCAACTGGTCCATATCGTACTCGACCAGTCTGTTGTCAGTTGTGGGCCAGTATCGGTCAACTTCTGCTCCCCGTACGAGGGCCGGGAGCCTTGGTGTCAACAACACAATGAAACAGACATTAGCGCGACTGTATTTCTGTATGGAAAAAGAGCCCAGCCATAAACCTCCTGAAACGTACCTTTTGATCCTTGTTATATTGCCATTCAAGATCACCTTCAGCTTAGATTCCAGTGCATTTAAAAGCTGTGGAGGGACAAGCTTTGTCGATTAGTGGGGAAAATATTTTCGCGACAACATTTAAATGCAGGGGACAATGCAACAACCATAAATTGTTGTGTTTTGCTCGCTGCAAATCCACAGCTATTAAGGCACAGTTGTACTTTTCAGAGATAACAGTACAGATACAAAATAAATTTGTACCAACAGTTTATTTTTGGACAGCTGAGGACAGTAAACAAAATATTAAGCGATAATTTGAAGTTTTAGAAAATGGAAAAGTGTTGTGCATGTATGCTTTGAATCACCTACATTGTCTACTTGCGCAAAGTCGTCCTCTTCATAACACTGCAGATCAACAGTGACCAACCCATGCGAGTGTACACGCAGAATAGCAAGCCTGAGAAAGGAAGTGGGGAAGATAAAATACAACACGCCATTTAGCAAAATTGACCCGTCAAAAAAAGCCAGTAAACAGCACCTCCATTTCCAGCTATTTACCATAAGATGAAAAGGTTCCATGTGGTCGTTTTTAAATCAAATGTTTGTGCAGAATGTGAAACTAAGACTATGTAATTAAATACACTACCTAACAAAGCAAAACGCTTTAGTCAGTCTCAAAGAAATTATGTGGGAAATAAAATAAAATAAAAATGGGTCTCTTACCAGCCATTCTTGCCTACAAAAGTGCCAAGGTATCCATGTCCATTTGTTTCATGGACAGTCTCCGTCATTTCCTGCTCGTGAAATATGGACAGTAGATCAGGAACTGTCGAGGAGGAGTCAACTGGGAAGAGAGAGAAGTTTAGAACAACGAGAATGAGAGAACCTGCTGTTGTGAGTGACGTGGCCTCCTGATACGCAACGAATCGATCTGAATCCCCTCGACAAATTATCCTAACTGATGCACAATTATGTCAAAAGCCTTCGATGCAACAATGTTTACGTCACACAATAGTAGCCGTAGTTTGTCTTGATGCAGAGGCGCCGGCTAAATATAGACACATCTCAAAGCTTCCCATCCAATATCCTTGAGAAAGCAGTTGCTAATCAGTTATTTATTCCACATTAGGTGTAGCTCACTCGTGGAATGCTGTGCAGCAACACATACGCACACAGAACACTTACAAAACCGTCAAACCCAACCGGAAGGATGGGCTGCTTGCCAATCAGGTGATTGAGGTGCTGTCTGTCCTGCTTGCTTCACCCACAGAGATCTATGGTCTCACCTAGACGTGTTGTCTTTGTTTCCCTCTGTGTATGTTATGTGCTTCAGTAGTACTGTGTACTTGTGCTTCTACTGGAAGTGTGTTTGTTCTTCCTGACGCACCGTTTTTGTTGCTCTAGTCTGTCGTACGCTCTTCTTTTTTGCTGTGTATTGGTTTTGTGTAGACGTTGCTGTCCGTTTGTCTAAAAGTTTTAATTAATTTCCTTTTGAATTTTTTTTTACATCTGGTACAGTACAACTGTTGATTAGTGTGCATGGTCCTTGCAAAATAAACAAGTACATTTTATTTACTTTTTATTTTAATATTGTCTGAGGGATCTGTTATCAAATTAAAAGTCACCTTGTCTCTAAAAGTTTCGTAATTTTAGATATTTCGCTCTCCTTTTTAAGTCATACCAGTGTTTGTTATTTACACAAACAGAATTATTAAGTTTGCATCGGGTGCGTTTCAAAAACGATTCATAAAATGTAGAATGTATAATTCATGTATTGATATATCTGTTCATGTTTTGGATATTTAACGTTAAATTAATAATTGTATTATATACGGACTGATAATAAGCATACAACTTAATAGCATACGTCATAGCTGGTGACTATATTTAAACCTGTAACTGCTACTTTGAGACCAGCAGCATTGAGCTGCTCGGCCGCAGTCCGACAACGGACTTACGTTACTGAACTCGTATTAGCTTCAACTTTTTTTGTCAGAAAACTACAAAAATGGCGTAATTGCGCAGCTTCCTGTGCTGGCTCGAACACACTTTATTCACAATGGGCCATTGAGTGTCCTCGCCGCAGCAATGAGACCGAATAGACCCCAAACTTAAAAAAAAAAAAAAACGTAACGTCTGACACAACAGAAGTGACATTAGACATTTCACGCGCAATCACCCGCAGTTGCAAAAACAAACTTGTTTAAAAATATCAACGTGCCATCCTCAGCGATGTTTCATCAAAATCAATACAGCGGTACTGTTTTGAAGGACAGTGACAGGCTAGCGGCTATTAGCGGGCTAGCCGGCTAGCTAGCATGCAGCGCCGGTTGCAGTCCCGGTTATTTCAGTGAGGCGGCTGCATTCCGCCGCTCACCGCGCTCCCCTTACCTGCCGCGGAGAGCTTGAAGTCGAGGGTGTAATGTCGCAGTGCCATGTCTGAGTGCAACCGTCATCCATGCCTGGAAATAGGCAGGCTGCGAGTATTTATCTGCAGAGACAGAGGGAGGGCCCTGCTACCGCTGCTTCTACCGCTGAACGTTGCGCCGAACCAGGAACTGCGCTGTGATGGAGTGACAGAGCAGCAGAGAGTAAAAACACGAGGCGAGAGAACAATCCTCCACTACCACCACCTCCTCCTCCTCCTCCTCCCCCCCTCGTTCGATTGTTCTTTGATCGACGTTTACATTCACGGTGTCACATTCACTTATTTATTACCGTATTAATCATTTTTACACAAGAAACATTTTCCGGTTCCTGGTATACACATTTTGAAAATGACTTTCATTGTTCATCTTTGCAGTGGGATCCAAAATCTGGGTAACGTGTGCGCGTTACTAAATGCATGAAAACGGTATTTGGGAAAACAAGTAGAACTGACAATTTCCAAACATCGATTTTATTTATGTAAGTGAAATGAGCTCAATGGACATACATGTGAATCCGTTTTCAACCTAATTTAGATAGAAACCACAGCAACAACTAGATATTTGAATGGAACACGTAAGGACAAAAAAGTGGATGATGCCTTTGGACGTCAATTTGTACAGAAACAGATTTTAACTGAAACTAAACATTTTATATTTAGCATTCTTGAAATTACATGATTGGACTTCATTGGACAATTTAAGATAATTGCAGTGTAATTTTTACTTTTACATGACAGATTTGCACAGGAGCAAGATTACAGACAACCTCTGTAATCTTACAAATCGTAGAGGTCACCAGGAATTACTGGTGACGTGCAAATAGGGCTTTAGATTGTTGATCACGGTTTGGGTTCTCAGTTATCCCGGGGAGGGAAGTTGATGCACGGACTTTTTAAATATATGGACATAGTCTTCGACGTCAACAATAACATTCTGGAGACAGTAAGCAGAGAGCAACCTGAGAAGGAACCAACAAAACAAGTTTTTTAAATAAAATCTAAATGGGTTGGATATGTAAAAGGAAATATATACAGTTGTTGTTGATGGGGAAACTAGCTACAGAAACCAACACAGGTTGTAAACACAGTTATTTCTGCAGAAAATTTCATTTCATAGCATCTTTGTCCTGAAAAAACATATTGAATTGGAGGCCGTCCTATGGTTACTCATTCTGACTAATCATGATGACGCTTCACATACTTTTACACCATTATTAAAACTACCTGCATCCATTGCGTCTCCAGTACATCATCAGAAACTAAATCCACCACAATCAAAACCATCAAAATCAGAGTCTGCCACTTCAAAGTCAAAGCTGTTACAGTGAGCGGAGTCGAGTGCGGGCCCTGCGCCGTTGTACACTCCTGTTGCTCCCATGCCAGGGAAATCCGTGTTGAGTGGCAGGTCAGGAGCTTTGGCTTCCAGATTAGGGAGCGAGCATGCGCCCAGGTAACCCAGAGCAGAGGAGGCAGCGGCACCGCCCATCAGCAGATAAACCGCCTTCACTGCGTCGGCATTACCGATGGTGCCGTGGCGCAGACACCCTGCTGGGTGTGCACCACCTTTGTATTGCTTCGTGAGGGGAGAATTCCGGCCTGAAAAACAGGTTACTTAACATTTTACCCTGATCACTTATGAAAAAAACCGCCTACCCGCCTAACCCACCTTTCTCCCTGAGGGAAGCACAAGCCGTCGGCCCCGGGGAGTCTGCTTCTGCGTTGCAGAGCGGTGGAGTCGGTGGGTCCTTGTCCAGGATTTGCTCAGGCACCAGATCTTGGAGTTTAATGTGTGGGGGTAGCAGCCGATGTCGTTTACATGGACTGATAGGTGACGAGAGGCTCTACGGGGGATGAAATAGCGTGACTGAAGAGGACGTCGAATAGAGTAAATACATTTTAATGGTGACGCTCACAACATCACCCCAGTGTTTAGTACTCGTTTAGCATTTAAAACAATAAACCTACTAAATATGAGCACAGAAGAGCTGCCAACGTTACATACTTTAATGCTAACGTCCGCATCGCCTCAAAGCACTTGTGTGTCCAAGTACAGCTAAGTGCGGCCTCTAGCCTTTTATTCATATTCCAAACCAAACACAATAACAAATATGTCTCATAAACTCACCTTTTTCACTTTTTTCAGTATATTCAGCCATTGACTAAAAAGTGATAAGAAATGCTTCTGTTAGTCCATGAAAAATCAAACATCCATCAACATCAAGTGAGGAAATAACCTGCAGCAATGGAACATGCAGTAACTCCAGTACATTTCCTGCTACACACAGCACGGGGTATTAAGCTAAAGAAAATACGCAGTCAGGTTAAAAATCCCCATCTGGTGCCTGCTGGGACCTTTATGTTCTTTAACAAATATACTGTATGGACAGAGGAGAGGGCGAGCAGAAGGAGTTCATTGACACTAGGCAACATGAGCAAACATTAAGTAATAAAGGTTAAACATTTAAGGAGAATGCACCTTTTGGCTGTGTCGTGGATAGATAGAAAGTAGCATATCTCATATCTGTTAAATATGAAACTAAAAACAGGAAGTTTGGGTTAGTTCAGCATTAAGACTGGAAACATGGGGAATGGTAATTCCGCTGCATCAACATCCAGTCCGGTCTTATTGCTCCTCTGCTGGCAGAGTGTTACATCTCTTCTCATCCAATATTTAGCTAGAAGTGGTAAAAAGAAATAATGGAACTACTCCCCGACGTGACTCATGGCTCAAGGGCCAGTAACAATCAGGGACGGCGCAGCGAGCATCAGACCTGCAGTCTGCAGCGGTTTCAGCCAGCAGCAGTAGGTATTTACTCTGGGGAAGGATCAGGGCGAAGCAGCATTCCCTGCATCCGCCAGCAGGTAACCTGGGCAGGTCCAGGATCTCCTTGCCTTCCACAATTGCCTCACAACTGTTCTGCAACAGCACCAGCTGGTCAGGGGGCGACGCGGCATCGTGACACACGAGGAGGCTTCCCTCGGCCGTCAGGAGGAGAAACCTCTTTTTCCACTGTTTGAAAATAAATCCACCTGTATAACAAAATCAGGTTGGAAAGAACAGGAAATACTGATGAATGGAAAGTAGCACCCACGGCCTGTTGACAGGGAAAACATGTGCACAGTGGTGATGATGGCAGCAGAAGCACTGGATTAAACACAGTCTGTCATCGTATCATTCCCACAGATTAGGGGCGGTCAGATGGTTGGTGGATCCAGGGGGATGTTGGATGTGGGGCTGGACCAAGCAGACGATGTGTAGACGATAGCATCATCATAAAATGTACACATCTGAATCTATAGGAACACAAACTCGTTATTAAAGCATAAAACATAAGAGTAAATGGATTACGTCAAAACGGGGGAAACATATTTGGCTTTCATTTATATGTATTTTTTTGTTTGTGTCAGTCATTGTTTTTTACCTAATTTCCATAATGCACTATATTCATTTTATTAATAAAATGTTTTTTTAATCATACGAGAATCTCATTTAGATTCTTTTCATATTCAGAGTTTAGCTCAAAACTAAGACGCAAAATAAAGGTATCATCCTCATTAACGATTATTCACTATCATCACCTTCACGCTGCAGAATCAAATTCAAGTTCATTTTTGTTGTTGTGGTAGGATCCAATATAAACGGGATAAGCTAAAAGCACGACGGTTAACCGATGTTTCCCCGTAGAATCCACTGAGAAGTGCAGAAGAAGAGAGCCAGTCATTTTGGACCACAAAATGTCACCACGGCGGCGTAGATGATTGCTGGGTGAAGAAGAGGATCCACTCACCGTACATCCTGAGCACGCCGCGGTGGATCCCAGAGACGCTCATGTCAGCGGTCGACGCGTCCGCGGCTCACAGAGAAATGTTGGACGGGGGGGGGAAAAGCACACGATGCTCAATGGGAGTTTTAATGCTCAGCCTTAATCCCCGTTCAGAGGGGATGTTCCAAAGGGGCCACAGTTCAACGGCTTGGTTGGAAAATGGGTTGTGATGAGATGTTACAGACAAACTGCGGCATGGAGCGCTTGTCAGCATGGCTCAACAGATTTATCTTAATAGTTTTTTTTTTTTAAATCACCCGTGGGCTCATTTCCTCTCCTTTGAATGCAAACACAGAGTACAAGTTTACAACTGCAGAGACATGAACATGAATTAGTAAAGTTAATCAACTGTGGTTGATGAGCCAGTAGCCAGAACATCCTTAGATAACATTTGCCTTTAAACAGGTACACATCAAAGTGTGTACCTGTTTTTTGCCTGGTACTGTACTTAATAAAATAAATATTATACAATGTGTATAATACATATTGATTTCATTTATCAGATAATTTTGTAGGATGTGTTCACTGAACAGTAATTGAATCCAAGCTGTAAATGTTCCAAATTAGGACCCGTATTTTAAGGGGTCAAAGGTTGGACCATGAACCATCACATTCATGCAGTACATGTACAATACGATGCTGATGTCAAATACAATGGTGTTTTTTCCTTATACAAAATCAATTAATCAATCAAGAGTTTAACGTCTGGAAAAAAAATGTATTAAATAATTTTAAAGGGATCCAAAGCTCCAGTACGTCAACATAACAAAGATAAATAGATATGAATGAAGTGAAAGAGACAATAATCACAAAGGAAATACATAATTTATTTGAATAAAAGTGTTGATTAAATATCGTCAGAAAGGCAACGTGTGAAGCAGTGGTTTATCTACTCCCCAGCAGACAACTAATTCCAACGAATGGAAACCCATAATGTCAATAAATTATTGACAGACGCACCATTTTCATGCAAATGCTTATATTATTAAATAAATTATGACAATAAACCAAAGTAAAACTTGGTGTGAATATCATTTGCATATAAAAAGGACGAGCAACGGTACCGAAGATGAGATGTAATGTCCGTGCTGTCCATTGATTAACACAAGTAGTGCTTCAATAGTTGTAATTCAATCCCTGCGTACGCGTGACGCACTGGTGAGCTAGGACAGCTGATCCTCGTATTGCTTCCTGAAACAGTCTCCAGCTGGATAGAAGTCCCAGCAACGCTCCTGGTACATCTTCCACACGTACGACTCCTAAAACAGAGGAACAACGAGTCACAGACAGACGATGCGGGAGAGAAAAAATAAACACACAAAAACAGCTCAACTGACCTGCCCAGTGTGCTCCGTCTCATCTTTATTGATGAGGTACATCAAGAAGAACCTGAAAAATGACACCATAGTATAATCTCATTGGTGCATGCACGCACATACACAAACAGTGGCTGCACACGGGGGAACTCACATGTAATTGGCCAGGTTGTGTTCATCCAAAGTGTGGGTCTCAAAGCCGTGCGGCGTTGTATCAAAGTAGTCACTTCCGATGCCACATATAAAGCATTTAGTCTGCACAGAAATCAGTGATGATGCTTAAAAAACACGTTGTGTATACATTTGGAGCAAGTGTCAACGGAGAGTGTCATACCTCCATGTCTTCCTTGACCTGCTCCTGTTGGTCTCTGAGTTCTCCGAAGGCATCAATGATCAGACCTGAAGCATTAATACGGTTATCATTATTCATTAGAGGTGTTTGTAAAAACAAAAGTGCCAAACATACCTTTCTAACATATCAAGAGTTTTAAATAAGTCTCCAAAAGCTCCCTCGTTTCATTCCAACCCAATGCCATGACCTTTACCCTGAATGATGGCCAGCAGAATAACAATGACGAAGAAGAAGAACGTTATGTCGAAGACCACTCGGTACAGCTCGTATTCGTCCCCAGCGGGATCCTCTATCTCGTCCCCGATTCCTCCGCCGGCGCGCACACCCACGTACATGTGGAACAGGTAACACTGCGGAGGGAAGCGAATGCGCATCATTTGGGGAAGAGGTGCAGACGGCGCGTTGGCAAAGAGGCACGACGGCGACCTACGGTCATCATGTCGTCGCATTTCATATCCGGTTCGTCCTCCTCCTCGCCCTTGTTGTAGAACTTGCGGAAGAAAATGAAGGCGACGACGGTGTAAAGGTACACCACCACGGCCAGCAAGCCCAAGGTCATCATGAGCTGCCAGAGAGGAGAGGGAAACCCGGTTAGTACACTCGGGCCGAAGCAGAAAAAGAACACGGTGAGCCGGTTCTGCTCTCTCTCTCCGCTTGCCTGTTTGCCGTTGTGTGTGACTGAGGACAGGATGGTGCGCAGAGTCTTCACCCCCATGGCGATGTCCAGCAAGTGGCAGGCGAAGAAGAAGTTGTTGTAGTGGCCGAGCAGAGACATTATTGTGTACCAACAGAGATACAGGAAGGTCTGCAAAGAAATGACAAGGACGGTTATTTCAGTTCTCAGGTGCCGTGTTGGGCTCAGATAAAGGAGTGTAAAGTATGCTGCATTGTGCAATATACATGTAAATATGCGTTTACTTACGCCATCTGTGAACACAACGCCAAATTTCCAGATTTGGTACTTGATGTCAATGGTGGTCGTCCTAAAAAGAAACAACACTGGTTGAACTCCGTTTAGCCGCTGCACTCTTTCTACCGTTATAGATGCCGGGGATTGACTCATTTTCATGTCAGACAATATGATCTCTGCCTCTGATATTCCTCCGGACGAGAGCCTGCTGGCTCTTTTGTTGTTAGAAGTCATTTGAAGAAAAAGACAAAAAGTACTCTACCATGAAAACACTGAGGTGTCGGGTTCCTCCTGCTTCTTCTCGTGTTGTTGACTCACATCCAGGGAGGCTAAATCAACACCCAGCAGCTCAGCAATTCTTTCTCTGCCATAAATGTCGCCGTACTTGTCCAAAACCTGGACAAGGGCATCGCATTACACACTGGCAGGATCCACAGAACCCATTTCATATCACCTGACCTTAAACCCAACTCACCTTTCTCTTTACAAATTTATCCCAATAGTTGTTCGGGAAAGAGCTGAGAAGAAGAAAACACTGTTAAATGACTCAATTGAGAGAGAAACCTTGGTATTTAAAATGATGATTGATGTCTGGTACTTAATCTCTACACTATTAAGTAAGAAGCATCTAATAGGATACAACTGTATTTTTGTATCAACATACGGTGTGTTCAGGACCAGCCGGTCCCACTGGCCCTTAATGTCATCATCCTCAGGCTGCTCGGTGATGAAGAGGCCGTCAAACTCCAATTTTCTTGCAAGTTCTTTCTCCCTTTTAAAGATCACCAGTGGAATCTGACGACAAAAAATCATTGCAAATCCTGTTGATCTGTTTTGGATAAAGTTTTGGAATCAAAATCTGCAGTTGGGCTAAAAAAAAAGTTTTCCAAGATTCAGTTTTTATAAATACGTCTGTATGTATTAATGTAAGTTAAACGAATAACATTTGACACACTAAACTGTGAGCCTCATACCTTGAGGCAGTTGTAGCCAATGATGCAGATGAATGAGATGACTGTGTGCAGGGCAGCGACGAAGGTCAACGTCGGCTGCATGTAGCCGGTGCTCTCCTCCAGATAGAAATAAATGGCCACCTCTTCCTCGTCCTCATCGCCTTCATTCATCCCAGATCCCTCAGCCTCTTCCCCCGAGCCTTCAAAGAACCCGGAGCCTTCGAACAGGCCGCTTCCCTCCGACAGCCCGGATCCCTCCATCTCCTCACCCTCAGGCGGGGAGTCGGACACCTGAAGGGAACAGAAGAACGTAGAGGAAAGACCCGCTTGGCTCAGTCAGGCGTTGTTTGACCGACCCTCAAGGCAGCTGACAGCAATGAAGTAACAAAGAAAGAGTTTGATTTGCTTATCGGATACGCGGAGAAATACAAGAGGTGGAACCTTGTAGAAGAGCAGAATGAAGTTCAGGGCAAACGCCAGGAACAACGCCAAAAACCGCAAGTTGTAGAAGTTTCTGGAGAGGTAGTTCTACAAGAGAGAGATGGACATTGTTAGCAAGGAAGAGTGACTTTGAAATGATGCAATAAAATGAATGCTGAAACAATCTCCAGCAAACGTGTCACCATGAATTTATTTCTTTGGTTTTCAAGCTCATTCCAGATCTGAAAACCTCCTTCCCGCTTCGGCTTCTTTTCCTTCTTTTTAGGAGACTTCTTTCGCTCTTCTGGCTTTTCTTCCTCTTTACTCTGGGATTCTTTCTCTGCATTCTCAACACTCACACCCAAACACAGTGAGCTTATTATTTTATGCGTTTCATTAACATGAAAATCCAGTCATGGTTGCATCTGTTTGCTTATGTCTCTCCTCTCCACATCCCCTTGAGAGGCCCAGGTCTGTCCTGTATAACAAATACTACAACATTAATGTTAATGTTGATGAGGGAGTCTGTTGAATAAATTGCTGCATGGAAATGTTAAACATAATAATATTATGATTTGATTAAAATATTGCCATCCAGACTCTTACTCTGCCTTTTCAGGTTTTGGAGGAGGTTCCTCAACAGGCTCAGGTGGCTTCTGGCTGGCTTCAGTCTCTTCTGGTGGCTGAAACAGAACAAACACAGTTCACACTGCTTCCCTTTCACCTTCTTAATTTTGTGTCTGTCAAAAAAAAAAAGGTGGCATAGATTTTGAGCTGGATTTCAAACCACTAAGGAACTGGATGGGTAACCATTGAGGCATTTGCTACATATTTGTTTTCCCCAAAGGCGCATTAAACTCACCACTTTTCTCTTTGTTATGGGAGTTCCTTCAGGTGTTGGAGGTTCAACCGTTGATTCGACGCCCATGTCTCCGAGTCCACCAGGAGCATCAACGCCTGCTACCCTCCCGCCCTCTTTTTCCTGGCTATCCTCCTCTTCCTCCTCTCCGCTCCCAGTCTCCCCAGTGTCCGTAACCCCTCCAGTGTCTTGTTCCTCCGTCCTTGGCTCCCCCGGTCCGTCTCCGTGCACGTCATCCTGCGTGGGATCCGGCATGCTCGCTAGAATCTCGGTGACGGTGATATTTTTGGCGCCCTCCACCAGGCCGCCTCCAAACAGCGTCTGCCAGATGATCATGA